CACAATGTCCCTGCAGTTACAGTATGTGATCACAATTCAGGCACTTGGTGACTGGCTCATATTTATGAAGGCCACAGCATCCCGCAGTCACTTGATTACCATTTCTGACCTTTGCTGTTGGCTTTTGACAAGCAATGGAGAAGCTGGCAGGAAATTGCAAGTTGTGGTCATGTGACGGTGCACTTAACGATGTGGGATTTGCTTAATGATCACAACTGGAACTGCCACAACTGCCGTCATAAGTTGGCATGTCACATGAAGTTGTGCTGTATGGCCATGTCACTTAGTGACAGACTTCTCAATCCCAATTATCATTGTTAACAGAGGACTACCTGTATTTAGATAAATATATGTATAAAGAACATCTAAGGGAAAAAAATTCGTCTCTTGAGTGTATTTTCAATGCTTTTGAAATTATATTTTTTTATCGCTGTAAAGGAAAGATCAAGTTGTGCATGAGGTCTGATGGAAAGTTTACAGTCAGGTAAAAGTTGCAATAAGAGCAAAGCATAGCACAGCTAGACTGGGGAGCTGCTTCTGGTTGTTACCTATCAATTTAGAAAGATAACTGATGGGATTTTTTTTTTTTTACTTGCAGTTAGCCTTAGCCCTGAATCAGTTATAGGATGTCACAAAACAACTTAGTGTAGTCCCTTAAGTTAGTACATTCTGTTACCAGAGATCCATTCTGACTGATAACACATTTGAAAAACAAACCAAAGCAAAACCTAAACATCCTTATTGAAAAACAACCCATTATTTCTTGCAGGTTTATGGAAAAATCCCAAACTCATAATCAGAAAGACAAGTTGATATGCCAGGTTCCTTAGTATAGCTGAGCTATAATAAGGCCATGGAACATTTATAGTTGTAAGAGAAGAAGCTCAATCTTCTTTGCTCTTTATTCTCTGCATATCCTCATAGGATTGTCCCTGCTAGTGCTGTTTTTCCTGAGTAATTACTAAGCAATCTGACGTCAGATGCTTATGATGGCTTGGGGATAAAAAAATATATACAAGAAACACTTATCAAAGATTATTTTAGGATGAGATATACCATGCTACAAAGCAGAAATTGGTGATGCTTCCTATTAGTTTAGTAATAGTTCCTGATGTGGCACGTCAATATTTTAGAACAGGGTTCTAAATTCATGAAATTACCAAAATATGAATATTACAAAGATAGCAGTTCACTTGGCATGAACAGAAAACAATTACATGTACAGTCTTCATTTTTTAAAAAATGAAAGCAACTTCCACAGTTATGTATATGAAGAGGATAAGTCAATGACAGTAAATCTAACGTGATCAAATGATCCAAGTTACAACTATAACTGAATATTTCTATTTGATGTATACCTATTGTATAACCCAACGAATATTCATTCAAGAGCAAAATCATCCAGAGCAAATGGTTAATTTGCAGAAAATTAACAGTACAGTTTTCATACTAGATGATCATCAGGTTTTATACTTCTGTGTTTTTATCCAGAAGAGTGCAGATGAGTGGTACCTGATGGCATGGCCAACGACAATGGTATTTTGATTTTCGTCAGCCCCAGTAACCAGCATGATTAATAACAAAAATGTATGGGGTTTATAGTCCAAAACTTATGAAGTACACCTAATTCAATCCATATGCATTTAATCTCCTTGGAATGTTATTTTAATAGGACTAAACAAAGACAATTAACTAGTAGCAAATTATTCCTGGAGGGGGTCCTGGATGCAAATTATTCCTGGATGCAAAATCCATAGAATTCAGACATCCAGGGCTTCTTGTGTGACAGACCTTCTTTTGGCAGTAGGATATATTTAGAAACTAAAACTAAATTCAGAACTAAAACAAACCAACCATGGGGTGCTATTTCTATTCATCTGCTTGACCGATTTTGCAAAGCAGAAGGGTATTTTAAATGTTTCAAAATAATGTGAAACTACTGGGTGTGTGCATGTGTGTCTCTTCATGTATGTGTGTATATGCAGGATGGATAAAGCATTTGATCCTAATGGAAATTATTGTCCATGGACCTAAAAGCACAGGGACAATTTTTGGAATAGCCACATCAGCATTTGTATATATACACAAATGCACTATCAGACTATAAAACTAGCATTTTAAAATAACAACAACAACAACAGTCATTCTATTTCTATTTGGATGGTTGTATTTTTGTGATTTTCTGCAGTAAGAGCTGGAGAAAATCACAAAATACAAAGACCTCCAAATAGAAATAGAACAACAGTGGCAAAAGGAAGCAAAGATAGTACCAATAATAGTAATAGGTGCCTTGGGTGCAATCCCAAAACAACTTGAACACCATCAGCATTGACAAAATCACCATCAGTCAATTGCAAAAGGCAGCTCTACTTGGAACAGCTTATATCCTGCAACAATACACCATTAACACCATCAAACAACAACATCTGCCTATCCCAGGCCCTTGGGAAGGACTCGATAGGTGGATAAAAA